AAGGTCATATTTAATTTTTTGCAAATTAACAATATAGGGATATATTAAATTAAAAAATATTGTCATATCATCTAAGAAGGGTCGAATGGCCAGACTCACCGATGGGTGATCAAATTGTCTGGTTTTTAAACTTAAGAATTAAATTAGAAATCTATTTTACAAGGATAAAAATGTATCTAAATTTCTAGAAAATAGGCTTAAAAAATTTGTTATTGATTTTCGAATAATAATCTTTCAAAATCGAAAGCTCAAATAAATAAAATACGGCAACTTAAAGAATAACTAACTAATAAATGCATATATTAAAAGTTAAAAGTTCCCATCATCACTCAAACTTCGAAAAAAAGAAAAGAAAACACAAAATAGGAAAAGAAAAAGAAAATCACTGTCGTCGTTTAGGGATGTTAATTTTGCAGGAGGTGGCGACGCCGTCGTCGGTGGTTGTTGCTCCTCTGTTTCTGGTCGCTGACGGCCAAAAAATCACTGTTCTAGCGATTACTCAAGGACTCGAAGATTAGACACATCTGATCTTGTACATGTGGTTGAATCTGAATCTGATCATTTTCGTTGGATCCAAAGCCTTTTGAATTATCAACCAATGGCATCTCTTGTGGTTGATCTACGCTCTCTTGTCTCAAAGATTGACGAATGTCATTGTCAATCGTCGATTTCTGCGAACTGTACACCAAAAGCTGTTGTTCATTCAAAGATTGACGAGTGGGCGCCGCTCTCAATCTCGGAAGTTGCGCCAAAAATTCCGGAGTTGTTGAAGACGAACCAGCGGCAAATTGCGGAATCGAAACACTGGCAGCAGCCGCCGATGCTTCCGATCCTAAGTAAATCGAGAGCTCTCTCTTGGCATCAACGAGATCGGATTGAATCCGTTTAAGCCTGTCGTCAAGAATCGATATGAAACCGACGCAGCCGTACACAGGATCGATCCGGCGAGCCTCCGCCTCGTAGACGAGAGACGCCGCGGCCTCGTCGCGCTCGTCGTGGCGGAGTCGGCTGAAAATCTTGAAGATGTTACTGGCGCCATAAGTTCTGCAGGCGATTTCGAATTTTTCAGCGTCATCGGCGGGAAAATGTGGCGCAAAAACGCAATCTGAAAAGCACTTTCTTCTCAGATAGTTGCAGGCAGCGCATGGTGAGCCGTAGCAAGAAGGAGGTGATTTTGACGAACTCATTTTAACTGATTCTTGATTTCTTGATTCTTCTTCTGGAATCTCAAATTGAGAAGACTCTGTTCATATAAATATATTTTGGTGGTGCGCTCATTGCTCAATCCTTGTTTTTCGTGATAAGATTTTGTGATTTTGAATCACCTAATTTCAAGAACTGGGAAGTTATTTTGATTTTTTTTCCCCTCTTGTTTGGTTTTTTATTTTAATGTTGGCGGGAAAGAAAATAATATATAATATCGTTCAAAACTTTTTAATTTTTGATCAACAAAATATGACAGAAAGGACATACAAATCTCACTGGGGTGCTGGCAAAAGTAGCAAAA